ATTAAATCTGAGAAATAATCCTTACAAGGAAGGAGCAATAGCAATCATCCCCTTCATAAGGAGAAGGAAGGCCTTTCATTAGATGTCAAAATAGTGCATATTTTTGGGTGGATCAATCATTGTCACCTTTATCCCTTTGGGAAAAAGAGAGAAAGCTCATAAGTAGTTTGTGAAAGCAAAGTATGAAGACTGGTCACTCATTTCTTATTTTGAGGACCTAGTAAGAGTGAGTCTTCCTACTAGAATGTCCTACTAAGCAAAATGAGGAGCAAAAAATACAGAAAATGCAAACATTCTTTTGACTGTGAGGCCTTATCTTCAGGTGTGTTCATGTTAATTAACAACATATGAGTAAATACTTCTTAAATATGCATATATATACATATATATACACACACGCATATATATATAAAACTTATATATATATGAATTAAAAGGTAATATGTTTTTATTAATAAGATATTTTAAATGTAATATACTATAAATAAAAGCAATCCCCTACAATTCTGTAGTCACCAGTAGCCAGTGTTAATACTTTGCCCTCTATAATTCTGTTTTTTCTTATAGTACATATGTGCACATGTTGGAACTCAGACACATGCCACAAGTGGTATTTTGTAGTTGTGGGACAGAGATCATGCTGTATGCATACCTTTATACTCTGCCCTTTCTCAGTCTTAGATTGTGAACAATTTTTCATATACCACAGGTTCTTTCCGAGCATTTCCATTAGCTTCCTGATGTGGAGAGCACAGTGCCTTGGGAAGGAGAGTGATTTCGTTCATTTTTCTATTTACAGAGAATCAAACCAGCCAATGGGAGGATGTAGGAGAAGGGCCTTGTGTAATTCCTCTCTTCTCTTAACCTCACAATCTTTTATGATGTGTTTTAGGTGACTGAGAAGAGAATCCAGGTGAATAAGTTCTATGAAAGTGAACTGTTACCTTTTGGGAAACCTAATGTGGTTTTGATAAGCCAACCTGCTTTGCAAGAGGTGGCCCGATTGGTTGTTGTTACAGCAGGGGTGACTTTTTATCCTTTTTCAGATTTTATGTTAAGGAAAATTGCCATGTAAATAAAAACAAACTTAATTCACAGGTAGCATTACTATTTGGAGAGCTGAAAACTGCACCCCAAAATAAATTTTGCTTCTAACAAGAACACTGAAAGCAATGGGTAGTGGGATGTTGCTAAACAAACTAACAGCAGAGTGCTTGCTGGCAGTGCAAGCCAGTATATTCAGGGAGCTCATCTTCTTGCTTGTGTGTGCAACATTCTCTACGGAAGGATAAGATGCTTCATGGCAAAATGGAATCCTAGGGCTTCCACACATAGTTCACCAGTGACTTTTCTATGAAGAAAAACATTTTCCCTTGGATGTATGCAATAGGAGTTGAATGTTTGGTTGAATATTTATCTTTACAGTTGCTCTATTTTCAAAAGTTTGTATTTATCACTTTATGGCTCTAGAATCCACAACAGTCTTAAAAACTAAGATTCTACACATTAAAATGATTAAAACATAAAACCTATTATCTCAGGGGAAAAGGGAATTTGTATGAATTGCAGATTTTATCAGAAGTGGGTGTTCTTATAAAATATTTGGATCCCATATCTTAAGTACAATGTTGGGGCAGTGGTCAATCAGAAGCCAAACTTGGAAACCAAGTGGAATTGATTATCTGTAATTTTCACTTTATAACTTTGATGTCTTATTAGGTTATATAAACATTAAGGCCATTTGCTTACGAGATCAAAATACTCAAGTCAATTCTTCACTCTGCAATGCAAGAACCAAGCCCACAAACGAACCCAAAATATGCAATGCTTTTTCCTGCCCGGCCTAGTAAGTCTTCTGGAAATGTCTCTCTGTTTATACTGCACTTGTGTACCTGTATTGTTGCTGTGAGGTCTTGAAAACCTACTGTCAGTACTTCTGATTGAAAGTAATTCAAAGGTATATGCCATGCCTGGGAATGGAATAGAGCAAAGAAGGTGGTTGAGGTTGAAATACATGAGATGACTCTAAAGAGTTCATGGGAAAGATGGAATTAAAATATGAGCTTACCGTAGCGCAGTTTTTCACAGTTGGTTTATTCCATGAGGGAGAGAGCGGGGGACAGAAAACACCTCTAACAGGGTAATTAAGCCATTTTTTTTACCCAGCCTCAGCCAGCTCTGGTCACAGGCACACACATACCCAGCGTACTTAGGGAGGCCACTGAATGTGAGCCCAGAACTTTCCCTTGTGGGTCAGCCTTGCAAGCATTGTATTTACTGCAGCATCATAGTCTAGCCCCTGGTCTGTTTTTTTTTTGAAACCTATGTGAATAGATTTTTCTTAACATGCATTATTTGTAAGTTTTTGAAAAAACTTTATAAACCTTGAAAAACACAGATTTGCTATTAGACACTCACTTGACTTTGTCTATACAAACCTTACCTTAGGTTCTCTTTTTTAATCTTTGCATAGATATCCCTCTTTTCTGAACTGAATCAAACATACTTAAATGACACAGAATTTCATATTAGTTATATTTACATGTGGCTGTCTGTTTAATTTTATATAAGCTGTCCAAAAATTTTAAAGTTATAATGCTATGTAGACCATGAAACCCCAAATGCAAATTATATAGCAGCAAGACACAAAATGAAAAGAAAGAGTTGGAGGCCACGTTGTGGCTCCCTTGTGCTGATGGAGCTCTATGGGCAGTTCAATAGGTTTGTTCTCAAACTGAGTTTAGCTACACTACATTTGAAGGCAGATGTTAAGTAATCTTCCCAGCTAAGCAGAGTCTCCTTTTGTGTGATTTATCTTTTGCCAAATATATTTATACAAAATGGACAGAGTTTCTTCTGAGCAATAGTGCATTTTCCAGTGTTTCAGATCATCTTAATGAGTAGTGTTTGGTTTGCGGTGAAGCAGTCATGATACTTTTTTAAAATATATATAAATGCATACTTTTTTCTAGAAAATAAGAGTGCATGTGTCAGAATTGTTTGGGGTTTCAGCTGTCCACCCATCCTATATCCTGGTTGTCAACCCAGCTTTCCTCTTAGGATCTGGAACAGATGTATCATAAGTGCAGAACGGAGAAAGAAATTCGAGAGAGTTTCATAGATTTTCTTCTTCTTTTAAGAAATATCTGGCTCTGGGACCAGCAGTTGGTGTAATTAATGGCTATGTCACTGAACTCCCATGTAGTCGACTACAGTTTGAGTACCAGACCCGGTGGCTTAAACTCATGTCAGGCGTGTGTGCATGCATGTCCAAGATCCTGAGAGGAGAATAGAGGAGAAGGGATTGTAGTGTGGTCATTCCCCTAGGGGTGGGGGTGATTTCTCACTTTCTGTCTCTCACTGTCTTTCTGGCGAATGCACGCGCCTTATAGCAAAAACTTATCAAAAAATTATGTATAAAAAGCAGTAAAGTGGGCCAGTGGGTTACATAGTGGTTAAGTAGTGATTAAGGCACTGGACTCCCACATGGACAACTAAGCAGAGTCTCCTTTTCTGTGATTTATCTTCTGCCAAATATGCTTATATATATTTGAGTCCTGTACCCAGCAGTTTAAAACTCAAGCTGGGTGCATGTTTGTATGTGCCCAAAATTCTAACAGGAAGGGATTACAAAGTGGCCGTCACCCCAGAGAGTGTTTTCTCTCCTTTTCTCTCTCTAGCTCTTGGGTTTCTCTAATGAGTGTGCATGCCCTATAGCAAAAATCTCTTTAAAAATAACAAGTAGTAAGGGATAAAAAGGACAGTGTTGGGTCTGGGCTCTATGGTAGGTAGGACTGGCAGAGGATAAAATTAGATTGAGTTAGTCTGGGGGTCAAACATGGAAGACCATGCATGCCATGTAAAAGTCTATTTGTGTTATGCTTCGTCCAGTACTTCTAAAAACTAAAGGAAAGAGACCTGGATTTTGTACACAGATATGCCATTTTTTAGGCAAATGTTGAAACTCATAATTTTATAATCTTTTATATCTTGTAAGAGTCATCTGTCAAATATGAAGAATTTTTTACTTGCTATCATCTTTCTTTAAATAGGATAGTATGGATTATGCAATGTTTTATTTTACATATACTCCTAGGATTTATGTTGTAAATTTTCTGATTAAAAAGCCTTTAATTTTCCACATCAAGGAGAATTCAGAGGAAAAACTTTTTAAAAAAATTTTTTTATGCATTCAATCACTGTATTTCATTATGGCATACAAAATTATTTTTCCTAGCATGAATACACTCAAAAATATTATTATACACATTATTATCAACAGATAATTTGCCATTTTTGTGTCCCTTAAATGTTTTGCTTCTTTCTTTTTTCCTCTTGATTTCCTTCCTCTCACCCCCCCCTCAACTTCCCACCCTCCAGAGGAAAACCTTTAAAGACTAGGAAAGATAACAGAAATACAAAAGTCTAGCAAAAGCCTATCCAGTGTTATTGACATTTTATTTCTTGAAGTGGTACTCAGAATATTTGTAATCCAAGATCAATTTTAGACATTGCTGAGACTCATAGGTGTAAAAGTCACATCTGATAAATCTCTTTTTTCATGCTAGGCATTCGAATCATAGAATTCCAGTCAATCAACCGTAGTTGTTAAGGGGCCAGCAAGTAATGCGGTAGTTAAAGCACTGAACTCCCACAGAGCTGACCGTGGTTTGCGTCCCAGACCCAGCAGCTTGAAAGTTACACTGGGCGTGCATGTGTGCATGTCCAAAATCTCAAGAATGGTGGAGAAGGGATAGCAGCGCGGCCATCACCCTCCACCAGGGGGTGATTTATCACTTGCCTTCTCTCTCTGTCTCCCTCTCTGGCAAGCACCTAAGCCCTATGGCAAAAACCTAAGAAAAAATATATATGTAGTCCTTGAAAAGAATTGATAGTTTCAACTGATCACCGTTTAAATACACACCAAGTCTAGATAGCTGTGAAAAAATTCATCTGGCAATGTTTAAATGAAGAACATGAGATAGGATCTCTAACACAGCAGTACATGTTGAGGCTAACCAGAAAGGTGGTTTGGGGAACTGTTCAGTTAGGCATATTCTCTGTGAAGCCTCAGAATGTACCCTCTCTCCTCCATGTGAACCCCTCACTCGCTCGCTCTCTGATCCCTCTTCCACTACCCTCACTACTGTACTTTTTGCTCACTTCCCTTGCAGCGCGTTCCAGAGACTCTTGAGTGTATTTATCCACCTTTCCACTGCGTCACAGGCTCCTTTATGGAAAGAGCGTTTCCTTCTTCACTTTTCCAACCCCATTGCCTAGGCAAGTCCCTGACCCAGTTAAGATTCCAACAAATCTGACTGAATAAATTGCTCAGATATTAAAATGGCCCGTGTGCCATCTTAGACAACAAGGAGGTGTTTTCCCCTAGAACTCTGTAGTGATTAAGGGTAGATGTCTCATATCTGGGGCACAGGAGTGTGGGCTGCAAAATCTACAGAAGAGCAGCGAGTACCAGCCACCCTTGCTGGCTCTAAAACTGATCGAAGGCTTTCACGGAGTGGTTAATCTGCAGTAACTGTTTGGAAGTGACAGTACAGAGTCTTGGTTTCATTGAAAGTAATTTTGCCTTTTACTGAAAGTTGGATGCCAGGGGAATGGAGCGCGTGCAGCAAGTCCTGTGCAGGCGGCCAGCAGAGCCGGAAGGTCCAGTGTGTGCAGAAGAAACCTTTCCAGAAGGAGGAAGCGGTGCTGCATTCTCTCTGTCCCGTGAGCACGCCCACGCAAGTTCAAGCCTGCAATAGCCATGCCTGCCCCCCAGAGTGGAGCCTTGGGCCCTGGTCTCAGGTAATTGAGAAACACCAGAAGTAAATGGTCTCATTCCCCATGCAAGATGAAGGTGACAACAATACAGGCACTTTTGCTCCCCAAGAGACTCTCAACTGTTTACATCTTCATGAAAATCATACTGAATTAATGCAGCAAATTCTGGATATTTCCACGGTTAGAAGTGTTGCTAGTGTTTCTTACGGGACTGAAGTTGGGAAACCCCTGTCCTTAACTGAGACTCCTCCCTTCAGTGTGGGAGCCAGTGTAACTAGGCTAGGGAAGGCAGCACTTCCATTAGAGACCATGGGTATTCTGGGGATCAGCTTTAAAATTTTGCCATTCTGAAAAAGAATGGCAAACATTGAATAAGCGTTAATTAGCCTTGTGTAAATCCTGTGTGTGCAAGAGTGACAATACACCTGCAGATCCTTTCTGTGTCTGGCATTGAATGCACTGATAGCTCCTTTCTGTTATTTAGCGGTTGTACGATTGATCTTTGCCAACTGCGTAAGCTCTCTGATTGGCTGGTGCCTCGTCTATGAAAGGGGATTGGTGATAAATGTTCTCCACTGCTGTGATTTGCCAGTTACAATGTCTCCGTTGTCATTCCCCTCCCCTCTCTCTTCCTAACAATGGGAATCTGGAGGTATGCAGGTGGTATAGTGGTTAAAGCACTGGATTCCTACATGGCCACCTGCGGTTTGAGTCCTGGACCTGGTATGATTACGAAGCACTAGTGTGTGTGTGCCCAAAGTCCCAGGAGGAGGATGGAGGAGAAGGGATTGTGGTGTGGCCATCCCCCCGGGAAGTGATTTCTTACTTTGCCTCTCGCTGTCTCTCACTATCTCTCTCCAGCAAGTACAGGCACCCTGTGGGGGGCGGGGGGTAGTGCCCCAGCTGACTGCATATTGACAGGAAACCAAAGCAGGGGAGCCACGTCTCTTCTGGTCCTTCCCGGGAAAAGGCAGCTGTGCAGGCTGAGGTGCTGACACCCCTTATGGACAGACACAACCTGAAGCTCAAGTCTTTGAAGTGGCTACCTTATCTATCTCACAGAGTTCTTGTAAAGGTCAAGAAAGTAAAAATAAGAGAATCGGGAAGACTTGGTTATACAAATCTATTTGTGAATGTTTAACGAGTGTTTATGGACACATGTTACCTACATGGCCACCTGCGGTTTGAGTCCTGGACCTGGTATGATTACGAAGCACTAGTGTGTGTGTGCCCAAAGTCCCAGGAGGAGGATGGAGGAGAAGGGATTGTGGTGTGGCCATCCCCCCGGGAAGTGATTTCTTACTTTGCCTCTCGCTGTCTCTCACTATCTCTCTCCAGCAAGTACAGGCACCCTGTGGGGGGCGGGGGGAAGTGCCCCAGCTGACTGCATATTGACAGGAAACCAAAGCAGGGGAGCCACGTCTCTTCTGGTCCTTCCCGGGAAAAGGCAGCTGTGCAGGCTGAGGTGCTGACACCCCTTATGGACAGACACAACCTGAAGCTCAAGTCTTTGAAGTGGCTACCTTATCTATCTCACAGAGTTCTTGTAAAGGTCAAGAAAGTAAAAATAAGAGAATCGGGAAGACTTGGTTATACAAATCTATTTGTGAATGTTTAACGAGTGTTTATGGACACATGTTAGGATTAAGAATTCCTTACAACCTTGGTGTTTTGTTTGTTTTTTAGGTTTTTGCCTTCGGGCGGGGGTGCTTGTTGGAGAGAGACTCCAAAAGACAAAGTGAGAAGTCAACCTGAGTGCAGAGAGGGCCGGCCGCACAGCAATTCTTTCTCCATTCTCCTCCGAGGATGTTGGGCATGCATGCACACAGCCTGGTGTGATTTTCAAGTCACCAGGTCCAGGACTCAGACTGTGGCCAGCCATGCTGCAGTTTGGTGCCCTAACCACTAGGCAACCTACTGGGTGCCCTAACCACTATGTAGCCCACTGGCCCCCAGCCCTGTTTTTTTGATGGCCAGTCTGTGATATACACGTGTGCGTGTGTGTGCACAATTGCAAATGTACCTATTCTGTGTGTATATACAGATTTCTGCTCTTATTCTCCTTGTTGGAGACACTAGTAATTCTCTTCAGGCAAATGCCCAGGTCAGCTCTGCCACGTACCAGAGAAAGATCCATAGTTCTATCAATCTGCAAGCCACGTCCCCCCTTTCCACGTTGTTACCACGTGAGCTGTCCTGAGAAGACCTTTTCCTCTGACCAGTGCAGTTCTTACTAGATCTGGGCAACACAGAAACCAGTAGACATTGGAAAGGGTGAAGGTGGGTGTCAGTCATGGAGAAACTCTAGTCTTTCCTGGGCCTCTGAATGGATTTCTCTTGCTGCAGGGGACTTCACTGGAACCCGTGTCCAAATGCTTAAAAAAACAGTTTTGCAAATATTTATATGTTCTCCTCATTTACCTAGAAGTTGATCTGAAATGGACAAATAGCATTTTGTGTTTCTTCTTCTCAAGTGTTCCAAGACCTGTGGGCGAGGAGTGAGGAAGCGCGAACTCCTGTGCAAAAGCTCAGCTTCTGCCACAGAGACCCTCCCTGAGAGCCTGTGCACCAGCATCCCCAGGCCTGTAGCACAGGAGGGCTGCGTGCTGGGACGGTGCCCCAAGAACAACCGGCTCCAATGGGTCCCTTCTGCGTGGAGTGAGGTATGAGCTTAGATGTACTCCTGCGTTTTTTGAAATGCTCAGTTTGCGCACCAGCATGGAGACTCATGAAGCTCCTTTCTAGTACACATGTATACACCAGGCATCTACTAATTGCCTGTTGTTTCCTCTCAAGCATCCATTGAGCTGATCAGGCCTTTGCAGTGGGAGCACAAAACTTCACAAACACACATAGAGAAAATTGGGTAACGCAGGCGAAGTGCTAAGATAGCCCAGAGCAGCCTGACCCTGTGGGCCAGAGCTCAAGGTTCACCCAAGCCAGACACCAAGAAGAATCTTCTTTAAGATACATTTCCCAGGAGCATGGGCCTGAAGGGTGAGCAGGAGCTGAGCAAAGCTGATCAGACAGAAGGTGCATCCTCTCCTAGGGAGAGATGACAGAAAGAATGAGACCTGTGGTGTGGTGGAGCAAGAGGGCTTTGGGTGACAGACGAGAAATATATCTGATAAGCCTTGGGAGCCAAAATTGTCCAGAACCAAGTGAAACAATCAGGTGTTCCTTTTAGAAGGGAGCTGGGATGGTCCAGCAGTCTAGCAGTTAAGCACTGTACAGAGAAAGCTGGATCCCACCTGGCAGACCAGGGTTCAAGGCCTGGCCCCATTGGCTTGGAAAACATGTCAGGCACATACATGCATGCCCAAAATCCTGACTGGATAGAAAATTGGAGGAAAAAGATTTGGGCATGACCAGGCCCTGTGGGGGTGGTGATTTTTTTTTTTCTGACATTGAAAGGAAAAAGAAGGGAGGAGGGGGAGGAGGAGGAACCGATGCAAATCATATAAGCCCAGAGGAAAAGCCCTTGTATAGATATTGCAGTAATTAAGATGAAAGAGCCAAGAATGGAGAGAAACCTTAAAGAGGCTATTTGGCATCTTTGAGCATATCGAGAGCCAAGGAAAGGGAAGATGGGAAGATTCCTCCTAGATTTCTGCGTCAGAAAACTCAGTTGAAGTTAAACAAGGGAAGCAGAATAGGAGGAAAGCCCAGAATATACAATGGTGACAAATGAGGTCTCTGCTCTTAAGGATTTTGCAGACTGGTATAGAAGACAGATGCTGAAAAAGAGGAAAGAACGCAGTAGTGGAGATGGTGGGGGCCAGTAGAGGGGGGCCTTCTACACCAACACCCCCTGCATGTATTCATTGCTGCCCTTTTATTTTGTCTAAATGATAAGCATTGTGTCTGATCATGCATTCATACGGTATGGCCACCACTCTTCTGCTCACTCAGTGTCTTTGAAAGACATAATGTAATGGCTGAATGCTTGGGCTTAAATCACATTTACCCTATTTGAAATCAGCCTTCTGTATTTACTATCGATGTGACTTTGGGCTAGCCACTGGCATGGCTGATCCTCGCTTTTCTCTTTTTTACAATGGTCTTTGCAATGGGGAGCTACCATCTACACCTCCCTCCTAGGCCTCTAAGTGGCATCTAATATATATGATAATTAGACCGATGCAGATTTTATTGATTTATTCATTGTAGCAAGACCCTATCATTCCATAATACTTTTTTCAGAGTGTTTGTGTGCCTACCAGAATGAGTGAGGGGGAAAGTACCCCACAATGGGGCATGGTCACTGCAAGCTTTTTTCTACTTCTCCATACCATTTGGGGGTTGCACACATACACCCAAGCCTCCAAGGCTGGGGTTTAATTTGTGATTGACCATGCATAATCCATCCCCCATCCCATAATACTTTTTAAAGCACATTTTCTCATATTTACATTATTAGTCTCCATCCCTCTCTTTTTCCCTTGGAGTCACAATATTAGGTTATAGCTCAGCCTTTGCTGAGGTGGGTAAATATAAAGACAGTTACTAGTGATCCCATGGTTTCTCCCACTTAGTTGCCTCTGAACCCTTTCATTCTGGGCTCTAGCTCATTGGTCTAGACTGCTCAGAGGGGCTTCAGGTAGACCTGGGTCCACAATGTTTGACTCAAACTGAGCATCCAAAAAAATACTCCTAGAGCCCCTGAGCTCATCCTATGCTGACTTCCCAAGATGCTATGTGGCTGTGAGGTGGAGTCTGAAAGTCCCTGCTGCACGGTGACTTTACAGTGCTCAGAGCTTGGTGACTTTTGGAAAGCTATGCCAATTCTCTGACCTTTGGTGTCCTTTCCTACAGAATGAGGAATTTGCATGTGCTAGACTGACCTTCCAAAATCCCATACCTTTAATTTCATGTGGACAAGGCAACCTTAGGTCAAAATGCATGTACTTGGCAGGTTTGGGGCTTTGCACTCACAGCTCCTTTCTTGGCTCCTAGTGTTCTGTGACTTGTGGTTTGGGTGTGAGGAAGAGAGAAATGAAATGCAGCGAAAAAGCCTTCCAGGGAAAGCTGATAACCTTCCCAGAGCGAAGGTGCCGTAATATTAAGAAACCCAGCCTGGACTTGGAAGAAACCTGCAACCAGAGGGCCTGTCCAGTGTACAGTATGGCTGCTGGATGGTATCCATCACCATGGCAACAGGTGAGTGCATGCAGATTTGGGAGATGTATGAGAGAGATGCAGGAGACGAGGAGGCAGTCTGCAATGGCCGTCCAGACCTTTGAATGGTAGAATGGCCTGAGTTCTTTGGCCAGCTCCATCACCCGTGTGATCCTGGGAAGACTCCATAATCTCTAAATCTTAATTTTCTCCTCTAGAAACAGTTGGGTTTTTTTTCTTTTTTTCATAAATACACTAATGAACTGAATGTTGGTTTCCATTGCTGCTACTAAAACTAAAGTCTTCTAGGAATTATTCCTTTTTAGGAATAATACAGTTCTTGGGGCTGGCAGGTGGCATGGTGGTTAAGGGCACTGGATTCCCCCATGGCTAACCACGGTTCAAGTCTTGGACCTGGTGGCTGGCTTTCCCACTTTCTCCCCCCCCCCCCCCCCGCTCTTTCTGTCTTGCACTCTGTCCTTCTCTGGTCTAATCAAAAGAAAGAAAGAGAGAAAGAGGGAGGGAAGGAAAGGAAGAAAGAAAGAAATGGAAAGGGAAGATAATTCTTGAAAAAAAGGGAAAAAAAGAATACAGTCCTGAGGCCAGTAGATGGCATAATGGTTATATTGCTGGACTCCCATGTAGTAGATCATAGTTCAAGTCCCAGACTGGGCAGCTTAAAACTCATGCCAGGCATGCGTGCGTGTGTGCCCAAAATACCAAGAAGAGAACAGAGGAGAAGGGATTGCGATGTGGCCATCGCCCCTGGGGGGTGATTTCTTGCTTTCTGTCTCTCTGGCGAGTGCATGCACCCTATAGCAAAAATCTCTCTTAAAAACAAACAAACAGGGAAGCAGCAGTTAGCGTAATGGCTATGTCGCTGGACTTACACATAGTCGACTGCGGTTCGCGTCCCGGACCCGGTGGCTTAAAACTCACGCCGGGCGCGTGTGCGTGCGTGCCCAAGATCTCGAGAGGAGAATGGAGGAGAAGGGATTGTGGCGTGACCATCCCCCCCGGGGAGTGATTTCTCGTTTTCTGTCTCTATGTCTCTCTCTGTCTGGCGAGCGCACGTGCCCTATAGAGAAAACCTCTCCAAAAAAACAAACAAACAAACATGAAACAGTATAGTCCTTACATCATGATCTTAATATAATTGTTTGACAAAGGCTATGTATTTAACATGCACTTCTTGAAAGAACCCATGAGTGGGTATTGCTGTGCCTATTTTGTGGATGAGACAGGCAATACAGCTCAGGACAGCTAGCCTTTAGGTCATCAGAGTAACCCCAGAGGCAACCTTTCTCTGAGAAGACTTCGTTCTTAGGTCTGAGAGAGGAAAACGTCCTCAAGAATCTAAAGCTGTGTCGCAGTCCTTGCAGCATTCTAAACAACAGGTGCAGACAACTCTAAGGAGGACGACCTTGCCCGCCTCACCATTAAACACAAATGTATGTGCATATGTCTGTTTCAGAAGAGAAGAAATTAATACGATTCAGTTTCTAATTGGCTAGGCACAGAATATGCTATACATATTTCCTACCAAGTTCTTTATAATTATTTGACTAACTTAATATAGCTAGAAATAGACTCTAATTCATTATAGAATTTAATTAATTACAGAATTATACAATTATGGAAATTAGGGGTCAGCAAACAACTGCTGGCAGGCCAAAGCTGGTTGGTAAATAACATTTCACTGGAACACAGCCTTGACCAATGGCTTATATATTGATCGCAGCCGCTTCGTGCCACGAGGAGCGCTGACAGGATGTCTCAGCTGGAAAGTAGTGTGCTGAAACTTTAAAGCAAAAATAATAAAAGTAGAAATATTTTTCCCCAATATTTGCTTGTTTATTCTTTCATTATGAACTACCTTTAGTTTTTTCTTTGTTTACCTGGAAAAAAATAAGCAAATAGTTCTTGTTAGTTGCCTTTTTTCAATCGAATATGTCAATTGTCTAATTGAACAGTAAAATCACTGACTTCTAAATTCACCATGATAGTTTAAAAAAAAGAAAAATTGACAGCAGTGAGGGCATAATTCCAAAACTGTCTCAAAGTGGTTCTAGTTTTTAACTATCTCCTCCAGTATTGAATCTGCAGAGTCATAGGAGTTCCTTAAATTCTGCGATTAACTCCTTAGATGTATTTGTTTCTGCATTCTTATGGCAGTTTCTGTATTTCTGGAACCTCTCTTCTTTGAGTCACTTAACCACGGGAGATACCCCTGTGCCAGATAGACGGCATTGGTCTAGAACGCTGCTGATCAGACCAGACTCGTGTGTGCTGGGACAGTCTATGGCCATGAGTCTATGGCCGTGACTGGCTCCGGGCAATCCATTTCTTTGGCAGGCAGCTTGGTACTGTCATGAGGCGTGGGGATTCCTTCTACCCGATGTCACTGACCTCAGAAAGGAACCATCCGCTGAGTGTTTGACTCCTCTGTCCCTCTTCTGCAGTGCACAGTAACCTGTGGGGGAGGGGTGCAGACCCGGTCCGTCCACTGTGTCCAGCAAGGCCGGCCTTCCTCAAGTTGTCTGCTCCGCCAAAAGCCTCCAGTACTACGAGCCTGTAATACAAACTTCTGTCCAGCTCCTGCGAAAAAAGGTAATGCACACCAAGCTCTAGTCAACTCCATTAGTGTTTAGAGAAGGTTAAAAGACCCCTCCATGTGGCTGTATGCAGCTTGCACATCACATAACTCTGGGGCTAACAGCTCACCTCACAGTCTGTGTGACGATGCTTCCTGGAGCTTATAACTGAGTTTGAAGAGAACATTTCATTCTGTCGTAAGGCTTTTAGCCATTAATTTTTTTTTTAAAGAATTTTTTATTTAACTTTACTTACTTATTTTATTTTGACCAGAGAGAGAAGGAAAGTGAGAAAGCTAGATGCCAGGTTCAGGACTCGAACTACAGTCAGCCATGTAGGAGTCCACCACGCTGAACCACCACACTATCATTCTTTCATTGGAAGGGGGAAATAGTAATTTTGTAAACCCCTTTATTTAAATTAAATATTTGTTCAGCAAAAGAATCAGATTATGCCCACCAGTGAGAATATTAGAGCGAAGAAGAATCACCTTCAACAGAGCTCCTGTTTTAACTGAGGCAGTAGATAAATGAATTATAATGACGATGCATTATCCTAAGACTACCCTTATGGGAGTTCAAGTGAAAAGCAGTGAGCAGTGATCTGAGCGAACCCATTCTTTATGAGTTCAACTTATTTCAAAGTAATCTGATAAATCCCAGGAAGTACTTTTCAGCCTAAAGAATCATTTTCTAATTTCTAAGTACTAGATTTTCATTTTCATCCAATCACAATTTTTCCAAGACCACCTAATCTCTTATCTTATTTTTCCATTTTGTGGTGCATCTGATTTAGGACTGTTACCCAGTTTATCTGCCCTGGGCACATTACCGCTCATCTCTGAGCTGTTGATCTCTTATGGTTTTAGTTGCAGGCTCTGGGTATCAATTCGCCTTCCACTGCTCCCTTTGCTATCTTATCTGAGGCTTGCACAAGACAAGAAAACTAGTTCTGCAGCAGTTGCTCAGAGGCAGATAGCCTATGGTCAATGCTGGAATTCTACGTGGGGAAGGTACATGCATTTTTGAGCAAGTATCTTGTTCCCCCTTTCTTCAGCCTCAGTGATTTCTCACTGTCCCCTGTTAGATGGTCAAATACCAATCCACACATACAAAGACACAATCTGGAAGGCTACAGGTGAAGTGAAGACCCCTTAAAAATTTCAGGAAGGTCACAGGACAATGGCCAATCATGAAAATTATTTAACATTTACTCCTAAACAGGAGTGTAAGGTTAGAGGAATTAAGACACACAAAAAGGTTCAAGAAGACAGAGAGACCATTGGTTTCATTAATTATTTTTGTTCACTAAGTTTCTAATTCTAACCAGTACCATGCCTGGTGTCTTATATGTGTTAAATGAATTAATGCATGAGGGTATGAAGTGTCATGAGGACCTCTGTTTTATTCAAAGCAATGGTACTAAGCACCACCTTCTAAGAGTAAGAGAATAAAGTAGACTCCTGCTCTTAAACTAGAAAGAATCCAGTTATCTCAGAGGATGAGGAAAATACAATGAGAAGTGGTGGAGTGCACTCTCGAGGGGATACAGACAGTAAGTAAACACATCATATGAGTGTTGACGAATCCAAGGTTAAAAAATACAGCGAAGTAGAGGGAACCAGCAGTTAGCGTAATGGCTATGTTGTTGGACTCCCACGTAGTCGACGGTGGTTCGCGTCCTGGACCCAGCGGCTTAAAAAAAACTCGCGCCGGGCACGTGTCCGCACATGCCCAAGATCCCGAGAGGAGAATGGAGGAGAAGGGATTGCGGCGTGACCATCCCCCCTGGGGGGTGATTTCTCGCTTTCTATCTCTAATGTCTCTGTCTGTCTGGCGAGCGCACGCGCCCTATAGCAAAAATCTCTCCACAAAAAAAAAAAAAAAATACAGCGATGCGGAGAAGGGGAATTACATGGTCAGCCACAGTAATGTTGGATCTTGACTCCAGTGGGATAGGATCTAATGGGAAATTTAGGGCAGAGGCATGGCATGAACTGGCTTGAGTTTTGAAAGGATCAGAGATCTGTTGGGGAGAGATGTTCACCTGTTGAAATATCCATTTTGTAAGACAAATAACAATGTGATTGAGTGTATAAAAGAAAATGAAATGAAAAATAATTAAAGGAGAGTTTGTAAAAGGGAATTTTGGCAGAAGAATCAAGATGTGGGAAAGGAACCCAAATCAGAGAGTGATAGAATGCAAATTGGAGGCAGCAAAAGAGGAAATAGGAGCACAGAGTCTTGTAGCCATCCAAAGGAGCAAAGGAGAAGCCTCAAATGATGAAATTAGGAAGAGATTCAACAGGATACCTGTGGGCTAAGGGGTTTATTTTGGTTGAGTCAAGGTTAGAGGCAACTTAAGGCTTGCATAGAAAAAGAAAAAAAACTACTTAGCTATGAGTATATTTTATTCATAGATAGTATAGCCCCTGAACATTTTTTATTTTGCCAGAGAGGGAGAAAGCACTCCCTATGGGGAATGCCACACCCCAATCCCTTCTCCATTTGTCTCTCCTTTCAGGATTTTGGGCAGGTATGCTTACAGGTCCAGGACTTAAACCATGTGGATCCATGTAGGATCCAGCTACCTTAACCATCAGGCCAGAGACTGGCCCACCCCTAAACATGTTATGTCAAAAATCTACCTTGACGGACCAGGAGATGGCATAATGGGTATATGGCTGGACTCTCTTATGGCCAATTGTGTTTCAAGTCTCAGATCTAGCAGCTTGAAACTCATGCCAGACACATGTGCATACATGGCCAAAATCCCAAGAGGAGAAGGGATTACAGTGTGGCCATCTCCTGAGGGGTGGATTTTTTATTTCTGTCTCTTTCTCTGTATCTCTGGCAAGCACATATGCCATATCTCTCAAAAACAAAACAAACAAAACTAAACAAAAAAATCCCAGAGGTACAGTGTTCTGCAGCTCATGAATATACGTATCTGTTATGTCTCTTGAGCAACTAAGAAAATTAGAGAGGGCCAATATTGACTTAGATTCACTTACTTGCAAACAGGTATGAGACTTATTCAAACCTATCCAGAATGCTAGAGCTGGGCCTCAAATTAAGGTGTCCTGACTCCCAATAGGTTGGCTTCCTAATCCCCTAAGTATATTCTTGGACCAACTGCAGCCCCTAAATGCTTGCTAGAAATAATCATCTCAGCCCCCATTGCAAACCTTCTGACTCAGTAACCAGGTGCCCAGAGGACACCTAATACATTATTCTAAGCTACTCCCCTTGGATATTCAATTCAATGGTAGCTCCCAGGCAATGCAGGATCAGACATTGATCTTTCACTGGATATTACTTTCTTTTTACATCCATTTCCCCTCCCTATTTAAATTTCGCTTGAAGTCACAGTTGTCACAGTTCCTTTGTATCTGAGTCCTGTCCCTGTATTTCTCTCCTATGAACGTCTTTTTTTTTAATTTATTTATTTTTCATTTCATTTTCTTTTATACACTCAATCACATTGTTATTTGTCTTATAAAATGGATATTTCAACAGGTGAACATCTCTCCCCAACACAGTTGACAAACAGGAAGAACCACACAGGGAGGTGGGTCCTGAGTCTTTGTTCAGGAGGCCCTTGCCTTAAGAACAAAGTCCAGAGCCATAACTCACCTGCTATATGTGTTTTTCTGATTTTAGAGGATCCATCCTGTGTAGATTTCTTCAGCTGGTGTCCCCTAGTTCCGCAGCATGGCGTCTGTAACCACAAGTTCTATGGTAAACAGTGCTGCAAGTCCTGCACGAGGAAGAGCTGACTTGATGTCCTTCCCTACCCCTGAGGACCTGTCAGCCTCTGGAGAGACCAGCCACCTTTCCCATCAGAAGCTAAGCACTGCGAACCACTGTTGGGCATTGCAGAGTTGGGGGAGCCCACTCAGAGGAACAGGCAGGTTGTCACCAAGCTCCTTATCCGAGTCCCGGAAGCACATGGTACTCTGAAGCACTTGAACATGGGAAGCGATGACAAATCTGACGAACAGAACAACAAATCTTTGATTTGCACTGTTAGACAGAAGAAGCGATGAATCACACAGATACATCAAAGGTTAATTTTGGCAAAGGAGAATCCTGTCAGCTTTGGGACAGAACCCTCACCCCATTGGAACTTCAAAGGGTTCAGTAACAAAGACATCTGTTTTATAAAGGTCCCTTGAGACTTCAGGTCACGGCTCAGGTTTGGAGCAATCAAATATGGATGGAACACCTTGCCTCACTGGTGCTTGGAGTTTACAGTCTGACTGACACCATGGATACCCGAACCTGGAGAAATACAAGAAGCCACTTGGTGCTCACACCGTGCTTGCTGCTGGACTAGCAAGCTTCACGTTATGTTTATTTAGTGTGCGTGTGTTGTGTATTATTTTGTTTAAAGTATATTCTGCCTATAGAGAGAGTCTCCAAGACTAAAATGAACAACTTAAAAGAATTCTAAGGGGTATTCTGAAAATAGGGCAACATGGGCTAGTTAAGATCTCCACCCACACTTGAAATTCACACTTGGGCAAAAAGTGTCATATGAAAGACAAATGATTGATCCCCTTCCCATGCTATCAGCTTTGGAACTTTTGGTGCTTGCTTAAGAACATGAGAGGCTGGAGCCTGCTCATCAGGATTGAGAATTGGTGAGATGTTTGTTTCTGGTAAAGATCTGAGCTAAATGGCAAAATAGCAGTGTGTTCAAGGAGGGGAGACCATTACTTATAATGTTCCATATATATTATCAGAGATGCTTAGAAAATTAAAGGCCGCTTGTGGCTTTTTCCTACCCACTTGACATGCTTAAATTTGCCCTGGGATTTAGTTAACAGGAAAAACAAAACACATAACGGCAATAGAAAAATCCATCTGTCTTCTTGCTCTGTTAATAAATCATAATATGCCAAGACCCTTCAATGAATAGGAGTATTTTATAGTCTTTCAGATGTTATTTCCAGTCATCAGAAGCCAGCTGTTGGTAAGCATTAATGAGCTTAAAATTGTTCTCAATTGGAAAAACACCACACTATTTTGCCAAAACCAAAGTAACTTAAAAGAATATGTCCTCCTGTAATTTTTTTGAGAAGTGGTTATAAAGGGCATATTTTATATAATTCCACTCTATTCCTCAGCTTCTTTGATGAATGTAACCCAGTTTTACTGCTTTTAAAAGTCGGTTCAAATAAGGATTAGCCAGCTCATCATAACCAGCTAGACAGTGGTTTGTTAAATTTAGCAGCATATTGTGTTCCCATTCTAATTAAAATCATGCATTCCCGAATCTCAGAAATGATAATTAGGAGCGTCTCTGAGGCTACTTGGCCTTGAGTGGTGGCCATTTTTGCCACCAGAAAAAAGAAATAATGGTCCCATGTCACTACCCCCTTACCCTCTGGAAAACTGCAAGTTATTTGTTTCTTTATATAATTATCATTTTATTATTTTATGGAAAAATTAATTTATTAATTAATAGCCTATTATGTGTTTTCACTTCTGAGTAAGTGATATTAATTCTGAGGAAAATGTTGAATAAAATCATGAATTATAGAGAAAAGTCAAAATATATGTGTAATATTTAATTATTTTATAAGTTTTATAATAAAGTATTCTGTTTATCTTTGAAACTGGTTAAGTTCTTAAATAAGTTAGAAGTCTGTCATTTCCAAGTAGTTTATACAAATTATACAGTAACTTATACAGTTCAGTTATACTGTTTGTTTTGCTAGGGGGCCCATGTGCTCACCAGAGAGGAAAAGGAGAAATCACCCTATCCTGCCCTGTGGGGATGATCATGCCACAATCCCTTATCCTCCATTTCTCTCTCCCTTTGGGATTTTGGCCATGGACGCAAATTCACACAGAATGCATCTCAGGTTGACAGATCTGGGACGCTTAACTGTGTGGTTAGCTGTGTGGGATCTGGCTGTATTAACCACCTGACCACGGAGCCAACTCCTTATACTGTGATTTAATGGTATAAAGATTGATCGGGAATCTCAGAAACTTACTTCATTGAGGGCAGGAAGTACTGAGAATGTCAGAAAGTGGTCACACACTGGGATGAGATAACACATTTACTGTCTTGAGGAAATACTGAATTATTTGTTGGGCATGTGTGCATATATTCATGGACATCTAAGATAAAACTATCATAAATGTATTTTTTTTTCTATTTGAAAGGGATCTGGTAAAAATATGTTTGCCTAAAAAGAGGAGGAGAGGACAAGAATAGAGGCATCGGGCAGGAGAGGAAAAGAAATGAAGGAAGAAGAAGAAGGAGAAGAAGGAGAAGAAGGAGAAGAAGGAGAAGGAGAAGGAGAAGAAGAAGAAGAACCTAACAAATTATATTCATAGACATTAGTCTCCAGTTTTCCAAATTTTGAATCAGACCAATGGAGAATAAGCACCATCTAGACAAAGTCCAATTATACGGTTTCCTCTTCAGGTGATTACACATATGTTTACATGTATTCCCATGCCTATCTTTAAAATATATTAAAGAGAATTTTTATATGAATTATTGCTAGTTAGAAAACAAATCATGGTAACAAGTGGAAAATGGGATAGATAGTGGATAAAGTGAATGGCATTAATTGTGTCTATTATTAGTAATAGCTAGACTAAGAAGAATAGAGAAAGGAGCCAGATAAATCAGCAATGAAACAGGCAATACTATTACAGATATAACAGGAAAGATCATGAAAGAATACCATGAGTAACTATAGGCTAACAAACAAAACATAGATGAGATGGACAAATTCCTGGACACATGTAATCTACCAAGATTGGATCAAGATGACATGGAAAGCCTGAATAGTTCAACAACAAGCAATGAGATTGAATCAGTAATAAATAGTCTCCCAACAAAGAAAAGCCTAGGTCCTGATGACTTCACTTCTAAATTCTACAAAACTTTTACTATCTTTGCTTTTTTTTTTTTTTTTAGGTTTTGGCTATAGGGCATGTGCACTTGCCAGTAAGACAGACAGAGGCAGAAAATGAGAAATCACCCCCCAGGGGGATGGCCATGCTGCAATCTCTTCTCCTACATTCTCCTTTCAGGATCTTGGGCACACATGCACACGTGCCCAGCAGGATCTTGGTGACACATGCACCCGTGCCCAGCGTGAGTTTAAGCCACTGGGTCTGGTCGACTATGTGGGAGTCCAGCAACATAGCCATTATGCTAACTGCTGGTCCCTCAAACTATTTCTAAAGACTCAAACTATTTCTAAAGTTCCAAAAGGAAAGAATCCTTCCAAAATCATTTATTGAAGCCTCCATCACCCTCACCAAATAGAACATTAAAAAAAATTTACAAACCAATATTCCTGAAGAATACAGATGCAAAGATTCTTAACAAGTTACAAAGCAAGTCATATCCAATGACACAATAAAAAGATAATGCACCATAACCAGGTAGGCTTTATTCTAGGGATGCAATGTTGGCTCAACATCTGCAAACCAATCAATGTAATACATCATATTAACCGAAGAAAAGATAAAAATCAATTGCTGCAGAAAAAGCATTTGATAAAATACAACATCCCTCCATGATTCAGACAGCAAAACTGGCATAGAAGGGACATTTCTCAACACGATAAAAGTCACACATGAAAAACCCATAGCTAACATCATACTGAAGGGGTAAAAGCTGACAGACTTTCTACTAAAAAATGGGAATAAGACAAGGCTGCCCACTTTCTCTAGTCCTTTTCAATTCAGTACTGGAAGATCTAGCCAATGCAATCAAACAAGAGAATAGAAT